CCTATGCTCTCATTAGCCCATCAGTCCTCCAATAGCTGTTTATATCTTACCCTAACTGCCTCCTCTTTTAGTTTATAAACCTTCACCTCTCTCTTCCCTGATGCTTCTATTCTCCTTGTATCCCATCTACCTTTTACTCTCAGTGTAGCTACAACTAGAAAGTGATCTGATATATCTGTGGCCCCTCTATAAACATGTACATCCTGAAGTCTACTCAACAGTCTTTTATCTACTAATACATAATCCAACAAACTACTGTCATTTCGCCTACATCATATCTTGTATACTTATTTATCCTCTTTTTCTTAAAATATGTATTACCTATAACTAAACCCCTTTCTATACAAAGTTCAATCAAAGGGCTCCCATTATCATTTACACCTGGCACCCCAAACTTACCTACCACACCCTCTCTAAAAGTTTCTCCTACTTTAGCATTCAGATCCCCTACCACAATCACTCTCTCACTTGGTTCAAAGGCTCCTATACATTCACTTAACATCTCCCAAAATCTCTCTCTCTCCTCTGCATTCCTCTCTTCTCCAGGTGCATACACGCTTATTATGACCCACTTCTCGCATCCAACCTTTACTTTAATCCACATAATTCTTGAATTTACACATTCATATTCTCTTTTCTCCTTCCATAACTGATCATTCAACATTACTGCTACCCCTTCCTTTGCTCTAACTCTCTCAGATACTCCAGATTTAATCCCATTTATTTCCCCCCACCGAAACTCCCCTACCCCCTTCAGCTTTGTTTCGCTTAGGGCCAGGACATCCAACTTTTTTTCATTCATAACATCAGCATTCATCTGTTTCTTGTCATCTGCACCACATCCACGCACATTCAAGCATCCCAGTTTTATAAAGTTTTTCTTCTCTATTTTAGTAAATGTCTACAGGAGAAGGGGTTACTAGCCCATTGCTCCCGGCATTTTAGTCGCCTCATACGACACGCATGGCTTATGGAGGAAAGATTCTTTTCCACTTCCCCATGGACAATAGAAGAAATAAAGAGGAACAAGAGCTATTTAGAAAAAGGAGAAAAACCTACATGTATGTATTATATATATATATATGCATGTGCGTGTCTGTGAAGTATTATTATTATACATATTATATTATTATTATTATTGTATTATATATTATTATTATTTTTTTTTTTTTCAACAAGTCTGCCGTCTCCCACCGAGGCAGGGTGACCCAAAAAAGAAAGAAAATCCCCAAAAAGAAAATACTTTCATCATCATTCAACACTTTCACCACACTCACACATTATCACTGTTTTTGCAGAGGTGCTCAGAATACAACAGTTTAGAAGCATACACATACAAAGATACACAACATATCCCTCCAAACTGCCAATATCCCAAACCCCTCTTTTAAAGTGCAGGCATTGTACTTCCCATTTCCAGGACTCAAGTCCGACTATATGAAAATAACCGGTTTCCCTGAATCCCTTCACTAAATATTCCCCTGCTCACACTCCAACAGATCGTCAGGTCCCAAGTATCATTCGTCTCCATTCACTCCTATCTAACACACTCATGCACGCTTGCTGGAAGTCCAAGCCCCTCGCCCACAAAACCTCCTTTACCCCCTCTTTCCAACCCTTTCGAGGACGACCCCTACCCCTCTTTCCTTCCCCTATAGATTTATATGCTTTCCATGTCATTCTACTTTGATCCATTCTCTCTATTATTATTATTATGATTATTATTATTATTATATAAATAATTTGTAACTTTTATTCACACAAAAAATATAACATTTACTGTTATTCCTTATTGCAATAATTGTATAAATAATGTCGACCCATTCACGACTGCATATTGGAATGGACAGTGACATAGTTTGTTTACTCTGAAACAGCCAAGCAGTGGACCATTTCTCCTACATTGACCTCTATTTCAAGGTACTTTTCGTCGTGAAAGCAATCAAAATCATATCTATTTCTGTAATATATCTTCCATTCTATCAAATGAGACCAAAAAAAACGAGAATACAACCATAAAAACCATTCGAAATTACTGCTAAGGGGTGGCTAATTGCTGAGAAGTGAACTCCATTATTTATGCTTGGATTTCTTTCATTTTTGGTGTACGTTAAGAAGCATCTTTCCATCCTACATTGCCTAAGTTTCAATAAGATAGTCCAACAAACAAATGAGATACAATTCCCGAAATCAAGAGCAAGAGCCCCTCACCAGTGTCAAGGAACCTGCCTTGAGGTCTGCTCGCTTGTGGAAATTTTGCTCGTGTATGGAAGCAAAAAATCGACCCATCGACTGCTCGTATTTGGAAAAACTCGCACGTGGACACGCTCGCAAGTAGAGGTTCCACTGTATTTGTATATTCTTTTGATATTTTGCATATTTAATCAAACCTCATGTAGGTGAAATGTGTTAATAAAAAAGTCTTTTGCCATGTGTATCTTTTCAAACACTTGTCAGCTATGCTATGCTCCAACTATTGTCATTGCTGTCTGAATTGGGTGATTGTTTTTTGCAGTCTTTGAATTTTCACATATCAGAGCAGGTATTGTACTCTTTCTAGAACAGTTACATATCCACAGATCTGTCACATTCCTTGGTGCTGTCTGATCATCCAGCAGCATTTTATACCTTCCGCCAAGCCATGACTCCTTTTTTTATCGGCTGACCTTCATTCTGATCACATCTCCCTCTCCTGTGACCTGGCCCTAGTTTACCCTCTACCACATTCATCCTGGATGTACAGTACCTGCAATAAACTCTCTGCAGTCAGCTCTGTTTTTGCCACTAGCCTGCTCTTCAGCCTACCACATCATGCTTCCATGTTTTCCCCTTCAGCTTGGATAAGGTGGATTATCCTAACTCTTTGCTTCACCAGTGCCAACACAGCTTCCAGTGTCTGCCAACAGGGCTTGGTGTACATAGGTCCTGTTGAAGGCATTTTTTCCAAGTTGCAGCTTAGTAGTTTTCACAGTGGGTATGTTTATCTAAAGAGTACTTGTATGGTGCTAAATGGTAACTCTTTATTTCACTTATTTTTTGGCATAAAAAAGGTGGCATCTAAGGCTGTTGACAATTTTTTTTTCTAATAGTTCTTCCGGGTTTCGAACCCTGGACCCCAGTGGTGAGAGTCACGCCTCTCACCACTCTCACCAGAATTAAGGAAAATAGTACTTTTGGGACATAATAGGGGAATATGAACTATTCCAGTTTATTCCTAGAGTTTACATCTTTAAAAATAAAAATATAAGTGTAGATTTTAAGACTAACCTAGGTTTTGCCTGAAATGCTTCATATTATTGCATATTTAGAATTACAGTAATTTTGAAATAAAGAAATTCATTGTATCATGTTAGCGTCAGATCCCATTTTTACCCTAATGCTAGAAACTTGGTCTGATCTTTATTATTAATCAAGACTGTAAGGGATATTGTTTTCCCCCTTTATTCTTGGAATTGCATCCTTATCTAACTAGTGTCCTACTAACATCAACAAAACAGTCTACTCTGTAAATGACAGTTACAATGGCCTTTGGGTCTGTGTCATATATTTGGAATAAAGGGAAATTGTATATGGGCATACAGTGCCCATATACAATTTCATGATTGAAACATCAACGTCTTCAGAGCATCTCACAACTGCTGCATGGACATTTTCAGCATGGTGCACATGAACCAGTAAGCATTCATCTGTTTTCTCTTCCTTGCATTCTAATGCCTGCTCCTTCTCACTGTCATGAGAAATGATTCTGAAACACTTTAACTGATCAGTGATATTCAGAACTTTACCCAGCATTTCTCTCAGCAGGCCACCTTCCTCCATTCAAAAACCACTACTGTCTAATTATCTACAAGGCTGTTATGGTCTGTAACTGACAACTAGAATCATACTCAGGGGTATTAACTTAATACCCGGTGTGCAGAATCAGATGGAATTTGCTCTGCTAACAATATTCTTTTGTAGTGATGTCATACTATACAAATGTACCAGTCCATTCTGTCATTTTCCTAGTTTACATTTGCTTTGCTGTATACTCTTTTAATGTTAGGTCATCAGACATCAGTATTTTTACTCATTTGCCTGGTTCTTCATTCTTTTATAAGATTCAACTGTCTTGTACATTATTTTAGTTCTTAATTGTTTCGTAAATAAAGAAGTTTGAATTTGTCCCTAAGGTTTGATTTTTTGATGATCTTGCATGGACAGTGTCTTACAAAGATTGTTTTCTTATTTACATCTGATTGCCATATACTCTTGTTCAAATAATGACTTCTTCCTTTGAAAATTATAGTTCACTAGCATGTATAACATTATCTTTCTGTAGCAAAATACTGAATTATTCAGTTAGAATCGTGTGTGTATACTATTTCAGTTGTCCCATAAACTGAAGACATCAAGTCAGTCTGAAACTGCTTAAAAAATCCCATTTAACTGAAGATCACTGAATCAGTTTGAAGTATTAATACATACGTGTACTTAAAATTGTGCTAGTGTTCACTTAGTTACCTCTCTTTTTTTGTACACTTAAAAACTCTACTTAAAAGCCCATGTCTAGTTCTTAAGTAGTCTTTAAGCATTAGAATTAGTGTGCCCTAAATGCACTGCATGCTAGTGACTTACTTTTTTGCCTAACAGTATTTTAATATGTAAACTACATTGCCTGTATACCACAGAAAAGAAATATTAAATTAAATTATTTGTATTTGTAAGTTATTTGATAACCCTTATTTAACATTAAAGTGTAATTCAGCTTTTAACCTTCTACGTGATAATTCATCATCATCATCTAGTAAGGTTTATTTTGGTTACAGCAGGTCAGATTTAGTTTAGCTTAGTTTAGGTGAATAAGAGAGATGCCTCCCTCCACTTGATTCATCTATATGTAGTTGCTAAGGTAACATAATGGAATAATACATCTACAAATTATTGTAAACATTGTCTTAATATAAATACAACGTAATTAACTATTATTAAATGACATTATTATTTGTATTGTTTTACAGCAATGCTGGTGTACCGTTTATTCCGTTGCTGCAATAAACTGACAGCCAAGATCCTACACACCTTCCTTTACTTGATGGCAGTTCCGTGCATTGTTGTGGCAACCATTACTGTATTTGACTCTCACAACCTACGATCACCCCCAATTCCTAATTTGTACTCCCTGCACTCCTGGTTGGGTGTGATTACAATTGGACTCTTTGCACTGCAGGTAACACACACGGTGAGACGGCCCTCTCCCTACCTTGGCCCCTCCACCCCACTGTCACCAATATTTACTTTGGCAATTAATTTTTTTTTTTTTTTTTACAAAATGTATGTTTGCATAATTTATGTATTGTGTAGTATTATTGACTAACTTGGTTCATAAATTAAATTTAATTTTAAATTGCAAATGAAGGAATAAAAGCAATATTTTATCTAAAAATTTTAAGTTTAATGAGAATAAAAGTTGTTTTAAATTTCCTGAAGGAAAGCTAAGCTACCTAATTTAATAAAATAGAATGATTAATCTATATTGTATGATTAATTTTTTGCAAATTTTCATGTTTACTTTTAGTTGTAGCATTAAAAGATTTTGAATAATGAAAACTACTTTCAGTGGAAAGTTCCATAAACCACAGGAGGAATGATGTCAGGAAAACTTAAATTGAGAAGTTTCTAAAAAGGCTCAGAAGGCCATTGATATTGTGAAAGAAAGGGCTGGTATACCTGTGATATGTGCTGTTATGCCTAGGATAATTAACTAGTTAATTTTCAACTGTTTAAGTACTCTAAAGAGGCAAAGTTAAAGTTTAAGAACTGGGATACCTTTTTTTTTTTTACAAAATTATATGTATTCCTGGGATGGAATACATCTTTAACAAATGGGAGTTAAAGCATTGTTTGGTTCAGTGAAGAAGGCAGTCAGTAATCTTTAGGGGAGGAGAGGGAGGGGCTAAACTAGTAAGAACAGTGATCTGGGAAATTTCAATAATTTGAGTACTGTGAATGGGGCATAAATGATATTTTTTTAAACTTTATTTCTAAAAAGTATTGATTATAATTGATTCAAGAAAAGGTGACTTTGACGTATTTTATAGAAACCCCTTTTTTATGCAGAGTATTTTGGACAGTCTTAAAATAAACTTATAACTACTTATAACCACTACTGGAATATTTTGCAGGAACAATTTGTTGGAAGTTTTAGTAAAAGAATTTGATATACATGTAATGTTTGTGGAGGTTATTACAAATGGTGGTCAAATATAAATGCAGATACTAATCTATTACAGTATAACTGCACAGGACATACAATAAACTGAAGGACCATAGAATGCATAGCATCTTGGGGAAATTTAGCCGATGCTATACTTAAAATTTACTCAGTTAATTCATAATCAGAATCACAATGAGAAGAAAAAAAGTCAGCATTATACATGTTTATTGATTTGTGAATAAAAAATCTGAATTTATTGATTTGTGAATAAAAAAATCAAATACATTGATTTCTGAATAAGATGTATATACAGTGGACCCCCACATACCGTTGGCATCACATAACGTTAAATCCGCATACCGATACATTTTATCGCTAAGATTTTGCCTCGCATACCGCTAAAAAACCCGCTCAATGCTATTCGTCCGAGACGCGTCTAATGTGCGGCCTGAGCCAGCCTCACATGTTCCATGGGTGGCATTGTTTACCAGCCAGCCTCCGCGGTAACATCCAAGCATACAATCGGAACATTTCGTATTATTACAGCGTTTTTGGTGATTTTATCTGCAAAATAAGTGACCATGGGCCCCAAGAAAGCTTCTAGTGCCAACCCTACAGGAATAAGGGTGAGAATTACTATAGAGATGAAGAAAGAGATCATTGCTAAGTATGAAAGTGGAGTATGTGTCTCCGAGCTGGCCAGGTTGTATAGTAAACCCCAATCAACCATCGCTACTATTGTGTCCAAGAAAACGGCAATCAAGGAAGCTGTTCTTGCCAAAGGTTCAACTGTGTTTTCGAAACAGAGATCGCAAGTGATAGAAGATGTTGAGAGACTGTTATTGGTGTGGATAAACGAAAAACAGATAGCAGGAGATAGCATCTCTCAAGCGATCAAAAGTGAAAAGGTTAGGAAGTTGCATCAGGATTTAATTAGAAAAATGCCTGCAACTAGTGATGATGCGAGTGAATTTAAGGCCAGCAAAGGTTGGTTTGAGAGATTTAAGAAGCGTAGTGGCATACATAGTGTGATAAGGCATGGTGAGGCTGCCAGTTCGGACCACAAAGCAGCTGAAAAATGTGCAGGAATTCAAGGAGTACATAGACAGTGAAGGACTGAAACCTGAACAAGTGTTTAATTGTGACGAAACAGGCCTGTTTTGGAAGAAAATGCCAAGCAAGACCTACATTACTCAGGAGGAAAAGGCACTCCCAGGACATAAGCCTATGAAAGACAGGCTTACTCTTCTCATGTGTGCCAATGCTTGTGGTGATTGCAAAGTGAAGCCTTTATTAGTGTATCACTCTGAAACTCCCAGAGTGTTCAGGCAAAAGAATATCCTCAAGGCTAATTTGTGTGCTGTGGAGGGCAAACAGTAAGGCATGGGTCACTAGGGACTTTTTCTATGACTGGTTACACCAAGCATTTGCCTTCAATGTGAAAAATTACCTAACTGAAAAGAAATTAGACCTTAAGTGCCTCCTGGTGTTAGACAATGCCCCTGGTCATCCTACAGACTTGGCAGAGCGACTTTGTGGGGACATGAGCTTCATTAAGGTGAAGTTTTTGCCTCCTAATACCACTCCTCTCCTGCAGCCCATGGACCAGGAGGTTATTGCAAACTTCAAAAAACTGTACACAAAAGCTCTGTTTGAAAGGTTCTTTGTAGTGACTTCAGAAACTCAATTGACTCTAAGAGAGTTTTGGAGAGAGCACTTTAATATCCTCAATTGTGTAAACTTTATAGGTAAGGCTTGGGAGGGAGTGACTAAGAGGACCTTGAACTCTGCTTGGAAGAAACTGTGGCCACAATGTGTAGACCAAAGGGATTTTGAAGGGTTTGAGGCTAACCCTGGGAATCCTATGCCAGTTGAGGAATCCATTGTGGCATTGGGAAAGTCCTTGGGGTTGGAGGTTAGTGGGGATGATGTGGAAGAGTTGGTGGAGGAGGACAATGAAGAACTAACCACTGATGAGCTGCTAGATCATCTTCATCAGCATGAGGCCACACCTGAGGAAACTGCTTCGGAGGAGGGGAGAGAGAAATTGAAAAAGTTGCCTACTTCAAAGATTAAGGAAATCTGTGCAAAGTGGCTTAAAGTGCAAACCTTCATGGATGAAAATCACCCTCAGACAGCTATTGCAAGTCGTGCTGGTGACTATTACACTGACAATGTTGTGAACCACTTCAGGAAAGTCATAAAGGAACAAGAGGTACAGGCCTCTATGGACAGATATGTTGTGCGACAGAAGTCCAGTGACTCTGAAGCTGGTCCTAGTGGCATTAAAAGAAGGGAAGTAACCCCGGAAAAGGACTTGACACCTTAAGTCTTAATGGAAAGGGATTCCCCTTCTAAACACTAAGACTCTCCTCCTCCTGCCATCCCATCAATCATCACCAGATCTTCAATAAAGGTAAGTGTCATGTAACTGTACATGTCTTCTTCAGTTTGTGTATATTAAAATTAATATTTCACATGGTAAAAATTTTTTTTTTTTCATACTTTTGGGTGTCAGGAATGGATTAATTTGATTTCCATTATTTCTTATGGGGAAAATTCATTCGCATAACGATAATTTCGCATAACATTGAGCTCTCAGGAATGGATTAATATCGTTATGTGGGGGTCCACTGTATTATTATTAACATATATTTTTAGTTTCATTTCTTAGGTAGGCATCCTCTGCTGAGAAATTTTTTTACTCAGTATAAAACATGTTAAAAGAAATATATATATTAAATGTGAAATGATTGCAGCTGGTGGTAGGGTTCTTCAGCTTCTGGTTATTGCTGTGCTGTGAGCAGGGAACTGTCAGATTCCGTTCTGGTCTGGTTCCTGTCCATGCTACGTTTGGCATCATTACATTTATGCTTGCAATTGCCACAGCTGTTACAGGATACACTGAAAAAGCCTTCTTCTCTCTAAGGTCAGTTGTGATTAAGCATTATGTTGAAAGTTATCCATGGGTATATTTGTTCAAGGTTTACCCCTTGAAATGTATGTATGAGTAATAAATTTGATGTAGTGCATTACCCAGTAGTTATATAATGTTATGCCTTTAAGATTATTCATTGTGGTAAATACTGTCTACAAATGTACCTTGGATTTATGTGCATAACAGATGTTCTAATTTTTTTTTGGTATACATAAATATCCTGTAAGTATTGTTTCTTCATCCACTTAGTCATTGACAAATGTCTTATTACATGTTAAGGCCCTAAACTAATGGGATTGTAGTAGTAAAACTGGCCCATGCTAAACAGGTCTTAGTAATACCCACTCATTCTCACTCTTATATTTACTTAACTCTAGGATTTAGTACAACTTCATGCAGGTGTGTAAAGGTAATTTTGACCTTGATATACATTTAGTATACTGAGCAAATAGCAGGTTTTACTGAGGAAATCTTAATCGCCTGGACAATAGGAGTAATTTTTATTATTTAGTTTACATACTTGGAAAAGAATTCTTCCTCAGTAAGCCATGCGTCTCGTAAGAGGCAACTAAAATGCTGCGAGCAAGGGGCTAGTAATCCCCTCTCCTGTACAAATTCCTAAATTTAACCCTTAAACTGTCCAAACAGATCGACGTTCAAATTCGTAGTGCTACAAAAGCAGATCAACTTTTTTTTTACATATTTTCAAACATAACAAAAAAAAAAAGTAGATAAAAGTTTTTTTACACGTTTTCAAATGTAAAATAAGAAGATCTACATTTTTTACATACTTTCAGATGTTGAAAAAACGTATATATACGTTTGGACCGTTTAAGGGTTAAAAAGAAAATTTCATTTTCATTTTAGGTCACCCTGCCTCGGTGGGTTACGGCCAGTTTGTTGAAATTTTTTTTTTAATCATCATAAGTAGTACTTTGTATATGGAAAACAAGTTGTGATTTAATTTTTGCTTGAACATATGATGGGTTTCAAGAGATTTTCTACTCTCACAGCCTGACCTAGGCCAGGTTTTTTTTGTTGATTGCCTATTCAACCAGGCTGTTCCTGTTGGCAGTCCACTGGCTCTCAGATATACTACAGCCTGGTTGATCTGGTACTTGGGAGGTAGTAATCCAGTTTCCTCTTGAAAACTTCTGCACTTGTTCTGGTAATACAGTGGTACCTTGGTATATGTCTGCTTTGGAATAAGTCCAACTTGGTATATGTCCTGTTTGGATGTGAAAATTTTTGCTTGGTATATGACCTTTGTTTGGAATACGACTCGCGTGCTAGAACTTGTATGGGTCAAAATGAGCCATGACAGCAGGTCATCAATAATTTCAAGAAACTCTACACTAAAGCACTATTCCAGAGGTGCTTTGAAGTGACCTCTGACACAGAGTTAACCCTGAGAGAGTTTTGGAAAGATCACTTTACTATCGCCCATTGCATAACTCTCATTGACAAAGCCTGGCGAGAAGTTTCATACAGAACAATGAACTCTGCTTGGAGGAATTTGTGGCCAGAAGCAGCGAATGAAAGGGACTTCGAGGGCTTTGAAGCTGTGTCTATAGTGGAGGATATTGTCTCTCTGGCCAGGTCCATGGGTCTGGATGTGAGTGATGGTGTTGTGGAGGGGTTAGTGGAGGGGCACAGGGAAGAGCTGACCACTGAGGAGCTGCAGGAACTTCAGAAGGAGGAGCACAAGACTAAGATGGATGCACTCTCTTCAGGCTCAGAAGAGGAGATAGAGGAAGCCCCTGCTTCATTAATCGAGGAAATCTTTGCCAAATGGATGGACATCAAAAACTTTGTAGAGAAGTACCACCCCCAACAAAGCCCAAACAAGCCGTAATAGCATTATCTGGAATGACCAGACAATGTCACATTTCTGAAACATCCTGAGGAGAAAGCAGAAGCAAAGTTCTTTGGACTGATTTTTAGTAAAAGTCAAACCTGGTGAGCTTCAACCAGGTTCAAATAGGGAAAAGGGACAGAAAAGAGAAAGGGACTCTCCTTTCCAACAATAACATTTCCTCCTCCTCCCTTCTCAGCACTATCCTAGTAGGCACTTGACTTTTCAGCAAAGTAAAGTGAGGTTAAATTTGCATATATTTCATCTAATTCTTTTGTATTATGTATGTACTGTATTTTAGTATTAAGCAGCATTTAAATTATTTTATACAACCCCCTCAATGTATAATATGCCAGTAACAATAGGATATTTATTTCATGGGAATGGATTAATTGTTTCTCCTATATTTCTTGTGGGAAAATTCATTTGGTATACATCCAACGTCCTGGAATGTATTAAGGACGTTTACCTAGGTATCAGTGTAGTATTTGTCTTCTGGGAGCAGGTTGAATATCTTGGACCACAAATGTTAATACAGCTTTCACTTACTGTGTGCACTGACGTTAAGAGGTCATTATACAAAGTCATAGTGACTACACTTCCACTGGCTGAACTTGGGGTAAAGGAAAAGAAAAAAGGAAGAAATTAGAGAGAAAATGGGTAATTACCTTCTGCTTTTATTAGTCAAGGTACACAACAAGAAATAAGCTTACAGTAGAAAAGAGCGGGAAAGCCCAAAAAGAGTCATAAGATATAACATGGGTGTAATATGCAGATGAATGAACTACCTCTGGTAGTTACTGGCTCTCAGGGTAGCACAGGCCTTGGGAAGAACAGTAGACATCCTATCAGATTTCTGACTCTCTAGGGCAGGGGTTCTTAACTTTATGATTACAGATTCCACTGGATTGCCCAATATGTCCCCATACCCCCTTCGCCAGACTGTCGAAACCATCATCATCATAAGTCCTATTAGGTACCCATATGATTTCAAAAGATGTCAGTAGTTTGCCTTTACATTATATATGAATAGCTAGGAATATAGGTACAGTAGTAGGTTGGTAAACAGCAACCACCCAGGGAGATACTACCGTCCTGCCAAGTGAGTGTAAAATGAGAGCCTGTAATTGTTTTACATGATGGTAGGATTGCTGGTGTCTTTTGTCTATCTCATAAATATGCAAGATTACAGGTACGTCTTGCTACTTCTACTTACACTTAGGTCACACTACGCATACATGTACACGTTTATTTATACATACTCGTCTGAGTTTTCTTTGATTTTATCTTAATTCTTGTTCTTATTACTTTTCCATTTATATCCATGGGGAAGTGGAGTAAGAATCTTTCCTCCGTAAGCCACGTGTGTTGTAAAAGTCAACTAAAATGCTGGGAACAGTGGGCTAGTAACCCCTTTTCCTGTACAGATTACTAAAAATAAGAAGAAAATTGTCAAAGTGGGATGTCTGAATGTGCGTGGATGTTGTGCGAATGATAAGAGAGAGATGATTGTGGATGTTATTAATGAGAAAAAGCTGGATGTCCTGGCTTTAAGTGAAACAAAGCTGAAGGGGGGTGGGAGAGTTTCAGTGAAGAGAAGTAAATGGGATTAGGTCAGGGGTTTCAAATAGAGTTAGAGCTAAAGGAGTAGCAATAATGTTGAATAAACTATGGCAGGAAAAAAGGGAGTATAAATGTATTAATTCAAGGATTATGTAGAGTAAAATAAAGTTTGGATGTGAAAAGTGGGTTATAGTAAACATGCACCTGGAGAAGAGAGAATTGTAGAGAGAGAGAGATTTTGGGAAATGTTGAGTGAGTGTGTGGGGAGTTTTGAATCAAGTGTGAGAGTACATGTGGTTGGGGATTTCAATGCTAAAGTGGGTAAAAATGTTGTGGAGGGAGTAGTAGGTAAATTTGGGGTGCCAGAGGTAAATAAAAAATGGGGAGCCTTTAATTGAGCTATGTGTAGAAAGAGGTTTGGTAATAAGTAATACGTATTTTATGAAAAAGAGGATAAATAAATATACGTACAAGGTATGATATAGCACGTAATGAAAGTAGTTTGTTAGATTATATATTGGTGGATAAAAGGTTGATGGATAGTCTTCAGGATATACATGTACATGTTTATAGAGGGGGCAACTGATATATCAGATCATTATTTAGTTGTAGCTACAGTGAGAGTAAGAGTTAGATGGGACAAAAGGAAAATGGCAACAAGAAGTAAGAGAGAGGTGAAAGTGTATAAACTAAGGGAGGAAGAAGTTCAGGTGAGATATAAGCAGCTATTGGCAGAAAGGTGGGCTAGTGCAAGTATGAGAAGTGGGGGGGTTGAAGAGGGTTGGAATAGTTTTAAAAATGCAGTATTAGAATGTGGGGCAGAAGTTTGTGGTTATAGGAGGGTGGGTGCAGGAGGAAAGAGGAGTGATTGGCGAATGATGAAGTAAAGGGTGTGATAAAAGAGAAAAAGGTAGTTTGAGAGGATTTTACAAAACAGAAGTGCTATAAGAAGAGCAGAGTATATGGAGAGTAAAAGAAAGGTGAAGAGAGTGGTGAGAGAGTGTAAAAGGGGAGCAGATGAAAGAATGGGAGAGGCACTGTCAAGAAATTTTGATGAAAATAAGAAAAAATTTTGGAGTTAAGAAAGCCTAGGGAATGAATGGATTTATCAGTTAAAAACAAAGTAGGGGAGTTAGTAGATGGGGAGATGGAGGTATTGGGTAGATGGCGGGAATATTTTGAGGAACTTTTAAATGTTGACAAAGAAAGGGAGGCAGTAATTTCATGCACTGGCCAGGGAGGTATTCCATCTTGTAGGAGTGAAGAAGAGCAGGATGTGAATGTGGGGGAGGTGCGTGAGGCATTACATAGAATGAAAGGGGGTAAAGCAGCTGGAACTGACGGGATCATGACAGAAATGTTAAAAGCAGGGGAGGGGGGTATTGTGCAGTGGTTGGTATTTTTGTTTAATAAATGTATAAAAGAGGGGAAGGTACCTAGGGATTGGCAGAGAGCATGTATAGTTCCTTTATATAAAGGAAGGGGGACAAAAGAGATTGTAAAAATTATAGAGGAATAAGTTTATTGAGTATATACCAGGAAAAGTGTATGGTAGGGTTATTGAAAGAATTAG